ATAAATTATTCACAGAAACTCTAACGAAATGGAGTCGAGCTGTGAAAAAACATTTTTCTTTCGAGCGCGAGGTCTGAATAAAGCCTCCTAAAATAGGAATCTTGCCTTTATAGCCTTACCACCTGCAAAAACCTACACACAAACAAAAATAATGCGAAGTTTTTGCTTCATGGTTGGCAGCAGTTTATAATTATTCGTGCGGATTTAAAACACGCCTAGTGCTAATGTATGCAGTATTTTGATGTTGTACAGTTCGAGTTTCGGTTTTGAAGTCATCAACAACAATTGTCACACTGCAATTTTTGAATTAATAACATGAAGATGTAACCAGACGTAAAACTACTCGCTATTTTATAGAAATCCAACCAACAAAAAATATATATCATCTTAGATGCAAAATATTTAATACCGCCTCTGGGAGATTTCAACCGCTAAGAAAAATTAATATATTGAATGATCGCACTTAATGCAATTTGAAAGTAAAATTCAGCTGCGTGACAGAAACCGGACAGGAGGATCGAGGAGTGATCATCTAGAAAACACGTGTATTATACAACGTCGATAAGATCGATGTTTTATCAGGCGGTTAGAATACATATTTCCTGATTCTGTCATACAACGAAAACACAAAGTGAAGGCTGCGATGACAATTTAATATTAAAAAAGTCCTGCGATTTTGCTACAGTAACTAAATACAAGATGATAATCTCTGGCTAAATATCATGATCCTTGTTTAGTTTTTGCAAAACAAGTTGAAATAATATTAAAAGCAAGCGAAGGAGAGCCTAGGTCATTTTGTACGTGCGATCTTGGATTCTGATCTTCTGACAGGTCAACTCTATTTCGATTCTGCCTATTCCCTGAAATCACATGATTAGTTTCTCTCTTTCCTTCCAATTCCTCAGACTTTATTCTTAAAAGCTCAGCTAATCTTTTCGTTTCAATTACGTCATCGCTTAAGAGGAGAATGAGGGAGAAAATATCGGGAAGGTGGCGAATTCGCAAAGACCGCAAACGCAATATGAACGCACGGTACCGTTATTTTGGTAAAAATTATTGATCGACATTTGCTCTGAATGCAAAAGTCAAGAGCGAAAAGTCAGAAAAGGAAGCTTTGAAATGTTTGCGTGCAAAATTTGAAACTTCTTATACCCTGGATACTGATGTTATTTAAAAAGATCAAATACTAATTTATTCCACAAAATAATTGCCGAGATAAGCAATGCCCTCAGACAATATGGAAATGAACCTGCAATGACATCGGTAATAGCTTTTAATTTCGATATCCGATAAAATCGACGGAATATTGTAAATCGGACAACATTTGAAGGGATAACATGGTTTAAAAACAAGAAAAACACGACACGAAACTTAACTGCACATCGAAAATCAAATTGAACAAACTAAGGTTACCGGTAAACACTGTGGTATCATTACATAACTTGATTCCACGCCATATCAAGAAAGCTTCTCCGGCTTTGCACGATACAGGCCTCGACAGGCTATAAAAAGCAACAGACACAATTCTATCTGGCTGTTTTGATCTGCTTTGTTAGACATTTTTCTTTTAACTTAGCTGAATAAAATTTTTCGTGCAAGAAAGAGTTCGTGATAATCTGGGATGGCCATTTTGGAAAGGGTATAAACTTGTTTTCATTTCTAAATAGTTCCCGACGCATTGTTTCCACGCAGTTTATCTATAAGTATTGAATCTATGCATTATATGAATTTTCTCGAAACCGGAAACTTTAGTACATTTAATCGAGCGCCTCAATTGTATCATTAGAATCTTTTTGGAGGAATTTTATTTTTGAGAACCAGTTCAATGCAGTAAAAGAAAACCCCCATTTCGCAGCATCAGCACGCGAACTGCATGTCTGCATAGTTTTTTTTCATTATCTCTTTCTTTTTTTTATTTGGCAGTTCAATCAACACCATTGAAATGAAAGCTGGTGATGAGTACATTATTGTGCAAATTTATCATCACGGGCATAACAGCACCAAATGTTTCTAGCATTCATGTGGAAGGTGTTGATGACGAGCTTGTTTGGTGACAAACGGAGAAATGACAAACTACAACAAGAGATGCTTGTCCGGTATAGTGGGGTGACGCAGTTTGAGAATCATCTCGAAAATTTCTAACTTAAGAGGGACCCGAATTGTTATGGCAATATCTCGATACAACCATCAACAAATCGGAGGAACACGAACTTTTCCGACCAACGTTTGCAAAAGTTAAGTC